TAATTTCGAATTTTATTATTTTGCATAACGGTTATCAGGTGCTCTTACAACCTTTGGAAGAATTGTGTTTATTCGGACATAATTAGTTTACCTTTGGAATGTTATATCTTTTCGGACATAACTCCTTTATCTTTGAAATGATGTATTTGTTCAAAGATTATTTTTTCAGAATTGATAAAATTCAGAATAATAAAAATGATATTTTATTTATAATTATTTTAATCCGAATTTTTATTCTTTTAACAATGCAACTTCTCCCGAAAGGTTGCATTTGGTTTAAAAGACTGAAGTATATATTCAAATTTTTCAAGTCTGTTTTTACTTTACTTATACTTCTTTTTTTAAAATCACACAATCATCTTTTCCAATTGTTTCCCTTGAGAGATCTTGGAGAAATACCGGAATTGCTATCTGGTATTGTCATTGAGACTTTGTTATATTTTGGAGGATTTTTTTTAATAACCATTATCAACGTTGTGGAGCAAATAATTCTTTAAAGAAAGTATTATCACGCCTTAAAATCTGATTTCATTGATCTTCCTGATTCACGTGCACATTTTTTCCACGATCACAAGAAGTACTTAATATGATGGATAGTGGTTCTTGCGAATGGTCATTGAAGTAGAATCTAAGTATAACTTTTCTCTAATCTAACTATAACTAAACTTACGATGAAAGTCGAGTCGAATAAACCGGGCATCCTTGGGATACTTGCCACTGCACCACCACCATTCTCATCGTCCCTCTGTAAACCAAGCGAAGGGGAGAGAGAGAGAGAGAGAGAGAGATGCAGCAGCCGACCGTGTCATACACAGGTCACCCTCACCTTCTTGCTGTCCTCGACGATGCGCCCCGCCACGCTCCTCCGTGCAACGAGTGTGGTCGTCCCTGCGACTCGCCGCCGGTCTTTCGCTGTGCCCGGTGCGACTTCAACCTCCATCTCCTTTGCGGCCCCTTGCCAACAACGATCGAGCTGGACGAATTTCCTGGCGATCCCTTCAGCCTCGCCGATTCATTCGCCGAGGATGACTCGGGCGAGTACTACTGCGACTTCTGCGAGGATAAAAGAGATCCGAGGGAGTGCGTTTACCACTCGGGAGATTACTATTTCGTGCACTTCAAATGCGCGATGTCCGAGGTACGCCTGGTTCTTTCAAAGCTCTGCATCCTTGCCCAGTTCATCTCTCCAGTCATCTTTCATTTTCATCCGACCGGAGGAAAACAGTCCCTTTTCCCAATGAATTTTCCTCTACTGGAGATGCTTACAAATAAACCATGACCACAACTAAGTAAGCATCGACTCGTTTAAGAGATAGCTCGTCTGCCCTGATAATAGATGGTGGTAACTCGTTTCGTAAGGATGGGATGACAATGGTTTGTTCCTTTCCTTTCATCAGTTATGCTGATTATTCACGTTTCCTCTCTACTTCTACTGGTATTTTGCCTCCAAAGTAGCATCATTTTGTGGCTGGATCCAAATCTGTTGGATCCCTCTTCTGAAGAGTGGGGAGGAGGAAGTTGAATTACCTCTCCATGCTTTTTGATTTACCTTGTAGGAGTCATTGAATTTATTTCAACAGTTGATCATGCCAAACAAACTGATGATTCTTTAATAGGTATTGAGGTCACTTAAGGGGGAGAGAGGGGATGTAGACTTGAGGACCTTGGGCAAACTTATTCCCGGCCGGGTCGTTAGCAAAGGGTTGAACTCTCAAACCACTGCTCAGTGGGAAAAGCAGATCACGGAATCTACTCTGACTTTGAAGGATATATACGACTCCTTGACTGAGAATGAGTTGATGGAATTCAAGAATCTGTCAATACCTTCTGCAGATATTTCATCAGACTATGCGACAAGTTTCCCCTACTCAGGTGACGCCTTCAAACAGCTCTTAGACAGGCTTGACGCTGTTACACTACCGTGGGAAGAATTGATCAAGTTATATAACTTGGATACCAAGGTTGTCGATGTCGGAGAGCACCAGATCACTTGGGATTTTGCCAACATCATGGACACATTGTTGCGGAAACATAAGGATTTGATTGCTGAATCCAGATTGAGTCCTAAAGTGAAGACGTTCATGTTCGTTTTGTTGTGTGATGTTGTGTACAGCATGTCCAGGACTAAAATCGAGGACGTCACTGAACAGATGCTTATGGACTGGTGGGGCCGCTTGAAGGTTGTGCAGCGTGCCAATTTCCGCATGCAACTTGTTAGGGATCAACTAACCATAGTAGTGAGTGCCTACTTTGGTCTTGCAGCGAATAAATTCAATGAACGCGCCACGGCTGATTTGGATGAACAGATTGACAAACTCTCAAAGGAGCTGGAGCAAGTCAGGGAGAACCGGGAGCAACATCAGAAATTAGTGGAATCCGCATCGACAATCATAGAAAAGTGCTTAGATGACGCTTCAGCTCTATCGTACAAAACAGTTGGCGCTGATCTACTATAATGAACTTGGCATTATAATTGGCGACTCTATGTATCCTTTGTAACTTCTGGTATTCCCGGTTACCACTTTAAATATCATGAATTTAGATTTATCGATAAGCTCGAAAGCATGTTTCTTGAACATGTTCTCCGGTTCATGTTGCACTTTTGTTACAGCAGTACAGTATCTGATCTTATCTTTATATAAACAGTAGTGTATAGATATAGATAGTGCACGCAATGACTTCTATTAGACTATTCCCAAACTACTGGGAGAACATATCGTCTTACAGATAAGCGCACATGCAGACAGTGTCTTTGAAACAGATCAAGAAAGCCGAAAATGATTACAATTTTAACCATTCAGAGTTGATTTATGTTCAATCAATGGAAACTCCTGAATACAAAGAGCAAGATTGCAGAAGATGTGTAATTGAGCTCCTTAGGGTCTGAGTGTCACTTTGAAACCATTGTTTGCTCATGGTCTAAAATATCTGTCCATCCAGCTTGAATGATGTCCACTTCCTGCGTCCTCTGTTCAACAAGCCAATGGGGATCTGTCTTTGGTTGTAAACTTAAAATCAAACGTGGTGAGCTCCTGAACACTGCATATCATTGGCAGCACGCAAATTAGTGTTACCATGCGGTTAACAGAAAAGGTAAGGACGAAACAGACATAAGAAGGCTAAAAAAGAACTCATATCTCTTTCAGTGACGAGCAACAGTACTTGCACATATATTTTTTTTAGCACACTGCGAAGAATTGGAAGTTCAACGTCGGTTAGACTAGCACGAAATGAACTGGTTGAAACGAATGCGATAGACACTATCTGCAGATAGTTTCCAGATGATCCAACGAGATCCAACGCCATCTGCAACGGGGAGTGGAGGGCTGGGCTAGGCAGCGGGTGTCCCCATCGTGAGGCTCGGGCATTATGCAGTGCGACCGCTGCCGCCGCGCCAAAAATCCCCATCTTAGCAACTTTTTTCAAGTTATGGATTTCCCGAATAGGTAAGTCCTGTATCAGATAAGAAATTTGAGCTAATCCAATGACTTATATGTTTTGTAAATGAAAAATCTAAATATGATGCTGATTTCATTTTCCAAAATGGTATCAGAAATTTCATTGCCAACAAGCACCTTCAAGTGCTATGTGCTCACCGTGATGCGGGGTAATCTGCTCATGCCATGGGTGCGACGGAAATTCGCTGGAGCACCGCTAGCAAAGGCTGAACGGAGGGTTGTTAGCAACTGGTGTTTTAACTTTAGGAACTTGAAATAATTTTTGCAAGTTTGAGTAGGATAGGAAACTTGCTAATCATTCTTTAGTGTTGATTTTTTCTTTAGTCATTTATTTATCAAATAGAAGGTGCTGTGTTATATAACTTCTCCGATGATCCTCTAACTTCATATATTAATGAAATATGCACTATCATGTCATATACCTTTTAAAGTAATTGTTTTTTGAATAAACTATTTGGGTTATTTAGTAATTTGTTATGAATTTGCTAATATTTATATTATAAATATGCGCAATCATGAAAAATAACTTCCAGCCTTATTTTTATATAGATATCCCAACATAAAATCTATATAAAACATTTTATCACCAAAATGTGCGCAATATCATCTAATTATACATAGATATTGCTATGTATAATCTAGATATATAAAAAAAATATTTATAATAATTAGAGTCGTTAAAATATGTGCGATAATCTCGATATATTGGCTAAATTATTCACCATATCCCATGTTAAACATTTTATTATTTTTTCTCTTTAATTTAATTTTTGACTTCTCTTCTTTGTTTTTCCTTTTAATTATAACTTAGATGCATGCAAGCCTCATTAACATTTGACTTTTCTCTTTAATTTTAATTTTTCTTATTATAAATTAGATATTGGAAAGCCTTATTTTAGAAAAAAAATCAGCTTCATTTTTACATAGATATACCAAATATGCATAAAGAAATATATTGAAAAATTTATTACCAAAATCTGTGCGCTCCTAGAACATTTTTGTCACGGAATGTAACTTTTTCCATCTATTATACATAGATATTGTAAAAGTCAGTTTATATACACCTAAACGATACGTGCATAAAAAATTAAAATAGAATCGATACATATATTGTTAAAAATTAGAGATTTGCTAAGGTGACATGAAAAAAGCAAATCACTAGAGAAAGTTCCCAGTGCGGACGTGCCACGTCGCATTAAAAACTCCATAACAGCCTGGTTCTTCCATCGACTTTGAAATTCTTGACTCAGATCAGTGGGAGCAATACTCATGAAACTTCCGTTCCTAAAGAACACAGCCGAAGGGAACCCTGAAATTATCATACGGAGAGGAGTAGCACCAAAGTGAAGTGCGTATACATACCCCTGTTGGATCCAATGCCGTTTTTAGTACCCTTCCCGCGAAACATCCCGCAACCCGAAAAGCCGGCCATAAACGAAGTCGACTACATTGAACCGACCAACGGGTCGCTCGATCAGTCTGTGGTTATCGGGCGTGAAGTTGAAACGTCATTCCTCGTCCATGGCTTGATTGCTAAATGCCAAAGCAACTGCAGTCAATTCATGGCGCTCGGGATCGCGGGAACCGCAGGTAGTGGAAAAACTACCATCTGTCAAATGATGTTCAACAGCGAACAAGTGAAAGAGCACTTTCTTCCTCGGATCTGGGTTTGCATGACGAAACAACCCTGGGATGACCCAGACCCGAAGGTCGCTCTCGCTGAGAGGATGCTGACTTGCCTCGGAGAAGACGAGGAGATCATCGAGGAGAAGAAACGTGATGAAGATAGAGTTTCGGGGTTGGTCTCTCTTCTGCATCGGCATTTAGTGGGCAAGAGGTACCTGATCGTGCTGGACGATGCTTGGGATGCGGATGGATGGTATAATTTGGGCTTCGCTAAGAAATGTGATCTGAACGGTCAGAAATGTGAGCCTCACATGAGACTCACCAATTCCATCTCAGATTACTCGATCCAGGACAAACCAAATAAAGGCAAGAATTTCACCTGGGTTCACTCCACGGACTGGAGTCGAGGCCTGGCTTCTGGGCTGCCGAAAGGATATGGAGGAGCTGTGATCGTTAATGGCAGGAGCGATACATTGGTGGAGATGATGGTTGGTAAGGAAAATGTGCACCATCTTCTTCCTCTGACGGACGAAGATTGCTGGGCCATATTCACAAAAGCATCTGGTGACGACGACCTTCAACGCGATCCTCAGGTAATAAGAAGAACACAAATTTTTGCAGATTTCTTTCATAGAGTAGTTTTAGTTTTCTTTACCAAAAAGTGATCTGATTTTTTTGTGAAAACATGTTCTGAGATTGAAAGTAATGAAAATAGTAAAAAAGATATCGGTAACTGCATCAAAATTATTAAAGAGACTGCTTTTTATATCTCAAAACATGTCTGTCTTCATTTGGAGCAAACACAAATGGTATAATCTCCGAGTCAATTCTACTTTATAACATAAGTCGCTTGGAAGCTAACGTTGCCAAGCATGTCTGCAGACTATTTTTATGTTCAAATGATGACTGAAAGACGTTCCGAACAAACAGATTAGATCTTCTTCGTATGGTCCTCACCACCTCATTGTTGTCTAATTGTATTGAGATTGGTTCTCGAGGATTAAAGCATCCAAGCCTGGAGGAGCCAGTATCTGTTAGAGAATGTGTCTACTGTTACACTGCGCTCAGTATTAAGTGACAAATTCTTTCTAGATTCGAATACAAATGTCGATAATCTCATTTGACATGCTACAGTAATATAATAATGGGAAATATGATAAATTACTTACGAAAGTGATTTAAAGAGTGGCATTACTTTGCAATAATTATGTAGATTGGTCTGTCTGTTTGTAGTATTACGTTTGTCTAAATGCCGTTGACATGTTATATAACAAACAGATCAATATAATCGTCGTATGGAATACTTTCTGATTCGTTAGGTAGTAGAACTTCGGAGATTTGTCGTGCAGGGAGCTGGTGGGCACCCACTTATGGCAAAAATTATGGGCCAATGTTACCGTGACATGCAACCACAGGTCGAAGATACTGCACAACAGGCGGCCGATAATAGGAATGTTTCCACCGAAGAAGAATCTGCGATCGGGCAAGCTAACAGTAGCAATGGTTCTTCCATAGCCCAAGTCACGGATCAAGCAGCAGCCCTGGTTACTACACCGCAACCGGTCAATAGTAGCAGTGGCTCTTCCATAACCCAAGTAACTGAGCCAGAATTGGCCCAGGTTACTACACTGCAACCGGTCAATAGTAGCACTGATTCTTCCACAGCCCAAATAACTGGGCCAGAATCGGCTCAAGTTACTGCACTGCAACCGGTCAATAGCAGCAATGGTTCTTCCACAGCCCAAGTAACTGGACCAGAATCAGCCCAGGTTACCGCACCGCAAACGGTCAATAATAGCAGTGATTCTTCCATAGCCCAAATAACTAGGCCAGAATCGGCCCAGGTTACTGCACAGCAACTGGTCAATAGTAGCAATGGTTCTTCCACAGACCAAGTAACTAGGCCAGAATCGGCGCAGGTTACTGCATTGGGTTCTTCCATAGCCCAAGTAACTGGGCTAGAATCGGCACAGGTTACAGCATCGGGTTCTTCAATAGCCCAAGTAACTGTGCCGGAATCGGCCCAGGTTACCACATCACAACCGGCCAATACTAGCACTGGTTCTCCGATGGAAGAATTTATTGGGCCAGACAGGGCCGAAGTTATTGCACCGCAATCAGTCGATAGCGGGGATGTGAAAAAGAACCGGCCGAGCCGAACCAAAAGTTTGGGGTCCTTACGGATCAAGTTTCCTTTCGGTTTGCGTAGAAGTAAAACAACGGGCCCTGACGGTTTCGGGCTGGGGTGGTTACTAGTTTTTTATATTTATTTTTCTTTCCTTTATTGCTTTATAGCTTAAAGCAATTTATTTTCCTTTAGCTGTTTAACGTAAGTCTCTCTAATTTATCAAAAAAGTACCAACTTCACTTTCTTCTAAAAGTTGTACGTAATGAACATATTTGTTTAACTTCTTCTTTACTTTATCTAGATAAAAGACCTTTAAGGACAATCTAAATGACCTAAAGCCATTATAGTGTCCAAATAATCCTTGTATTTTTGTTTCCACACATTTTCCTTGTAGTACTATAATTTGCTATTGCAAAGCGAGGGCTCGCCTATCTTTTAGACCATAAGGGATTAGACAACCAAACAGTCGCAAACATAATGAAAGTTTGGATTGGTGATCTCTTACTGGTAGTTAAGTAAGTGGGTATAGAATACAGTTTAGTTTGGAATACATACAATTGATTCTTTGGCCCAAGCACAGCTATTTTGCATAAAACCAAGTGACAGAGATTATATAACGTCTTATATATGCAAAATCCAACTATGTTATATGCATCAACATAACGAAGAGCATCTGAGAATATGCTAGTTTTGCTTGTGGGGCCAACTAAAAGCAAAAGAGCCATTGCTTAGTCTTGATCGAGTCAAGGTATACATTATTGGGCAAGGATGGACTTTTTCTTTTCCCCTTTCAACAATGAGTCCATAAAGTTCTTTTGAAAAGATATATATCCCATGAACTCAAGTAGGTCTTCTTTTTTCGACCCAAAAAAATAAAAGTAGGTCTTCTTTTTCCCTCCTATCTTCTTTAAGAAATTATGTCCACGCCAAACCCGCAAAACAGATAAGCAAGCCAACCTCTTTATTTCCTTTAAAATTTCAAGAAAGGATAAAGAACTGTGTGCCTGCGTGGATGTTAAAGATGAACAAGAAAATATCCTTTTAGGTCCCTGACGGGTTTTATAATTTTTGGCCGCCAATGTTGGGCTAACCCAGCCCGTTAGACATGAAAGAGCCCATGAGAGAGAGATAACCGCCGAGGCAGTTATTTGTAAAAACTACAACAAGAACAAAAGAGTGAGGCAGAAGGAAAAAGTACGTTCTATAAGTTTGACATTCACACTCACAAGAATAAACCTCTCTCACTCAAAAAGAAAAATGGCTGTCATTTGACGATCGAAGAATCGTACTCTCTCGGCGTTGCAATTGGAGCATTTAATCCGTAGAAAACAAGGTACGTCCTTCTTGGTGATGTACTTTAAACGATCGGTGATTCAAGTTTCAACTGGGCACTTTTCCACATATGTTTTTAGCGTTACTCGTTAGTTCGAGTTTTTCGTCGTTTAGGAATTTGTTTCCATTTTTCCGCATTTTGTTTAGGAATCTGTTTCCAACATTGGTATCAGAGCATGTGTTCTTGTTTCCTGATTGTTTAACGTGTTTATAAAACGGATTTTTGGCCGGAATTCGTGAAACGGTGCCGACGAACGCTCTGGTATGAAAAACCGACACCCGGCGGTACTGTTAGAGGTCGTTTCTCGATTTTCGTGTGTCAAATTTATTTTTGAAAGTGTAGGGTCGTAGTACTCGTCGAGACGAGAAAAACGACCGGTGGCACGCCTTCGGGGGAGGCCAGACACGCCTCCACGCGTGATCGCAAGTGGCGGCTCGCCGGCATGTGCGACGCACGTGCGTAGCGGTTACCACACGCACTTGCGCGGCACGCGCCAAGCAAGCGCGCGCGTGTGGACGTGGCTGACGTTAGCATGACGTCAGCCATGCAGGTTATTCTTCCGGGCCGAAAGGCTCGACCTGACCCGATTGATCCGATCCGACCCATTTTTTGACCCGATGACCCGACTCGCAGACCCGTTTGACTCGTTGGCCCGACCCGGTCATCCGTTCATCGTTGACCTGTGTTGACCACCGTTGACCGGCGTGGACCACCAAAAAAAAATTTGCTGATCATGTGCTTTAAGGATTATTTGTAATCCTGTTTGGTTCTGCATTTGTTGCAAGAACAATGTCGCCCTGTAGAATGCGCACACCTATTATCCCACGATCGGCTGAACAAAAGACAAAACTTGCAGCGTTGAGAGATGAGTTATATGCTTATCGATGGGAAAGTTGTGATTTGGAGAATCACATGGTCAAGATCAATAAGATGATACAGAAAATCATTTGGAATGGTTACTGTATGCCGAACTTTAAGAAGTTGAATGTTCTGATCAACACTCTTCCATCTGAATGGAAAAAGGTGTTGCATCGTCTACAGGAGGTCAACATGGTCCCAGCCTACAAAAAACTTGCAATAGATTTTGTGAGGGAATACTATAGGATTGAGACAACAAAGACTTCAACCCTAGGGATGAATGGAACTTGGCGAAGAATGAATGCGCCATGGAAAAATCCTAAGGAATATCCGATAGTCTTTTCTTGGTTGCCAAAGAAAGAAATTAAGTTTCCTAAAAAATTTGAAAAATCATTCTCTATTTATAGGAAAGTTAGGTATCGTTGATTTTATATATGTTTTAGGTTGATTTTAGATATCCTAGGTGGATATTTCTTTTCATGTTGATGTTGTTGTTTCTTTCCTATGCTGGATTCGTTCTTTATGTAAATAGTATTTAGTTAATGAATGTTGATGGATATTTTTTTGTTGTGAATAGTTTATGGTATTATTCTATTTTAATATCTATCTTATTAGTATCATGCGGTTGAGTGGGAATTCTAAAAGTTTTAGTAACTTTGAAGAACGTAATTTTACCTTAATGATTATATTAATGATAATTTCATATTAGGATTTTAGATGATGATTGGGAACATAGTGAACTTTCAAATCTAAAAACTATGTGAAATTACTTATTAATATAATCAGTTTGCGTAAAATTGACGCATAAATGAGTGGCATTAATAATTCATGCATATATGTCTGAAATGTTTAGATTCAATGGCTTCAGCAACTAAGAACATAATAGCTGAATTGAACAAAGGAGAGAAATTGAACGGTGAAAATTATGGAATATGGAACATGAAAATCCAATATGTGCTGGAAGAGCAAGAGGCACTAGAAACTCTTAACCAAGTCATGAAAGAGCCTGAAGATGGAAATACTGTCCAACACAAAAGGGACAAGGATGCATTTGCTGTTCGGAAGAAAAAGAACTCTCTTGCTCGCATCACGTTGCTGAGTAACAAGGAGAATGACATCATGCGAGAGTTTAGGCGCTTTGAGCATGCCGAAGAAATGTGGGAAGCACTAGCAGCAAGATTTGATCATACATCGGTGACCAAGCTGAGACAGCTCACTATAAGGTTTGACTCGTATAAGAAGCCTCATGGTCAAACCATAAAATAACACTTGAGAAAGATGTCGAACATGATCAATGAGCTGAAGGATGCTAGCCACATTCTGATTGATAAGCAGTAAGTACAAGCAGTGATCCGTTCCTTGCCTCAAAGTTGGGAGCACATGAAGGTGCACCTGACCCATAATGAGAATATCAAGACCTTTGAGGATGTCATGCGCCATCTTGAGTTGGAAGAGGATCGCCTCCTGGTGGCGAAACTAGAAACCGACATCTATTATGCTGGTTCTAGCTCACATGGGGCTTCGAGCTCTAAGCGCAAGCGCGTCGAAAAGTTCATGAAATGGAAAGGCAAGGGAGCAAGTTCTTCGGAAAAGAAACCGAAATTTAACCAACATGATAAACGAAAGCGTCCTTTCGTTAAGAAGATGTCAAGGGTGAAGTGTTACAACTGTAGCAAGAAGGGCCATTTCGCTTGCGATTGTGGCGAGCCAAAGAAGATAAACACCCCTTGTATTTTTGAGAACTTTGCTTATGTGTCAAGTTCTGTATTTCTAACTGAGTCTAATCCTTTGTGGACTGTAAATTCGGGAGCCACGGACCATGTAGCGAAGGATAGAGCTGCCTTCGTAGAGTTCCGACGGGTTCCGACCGGAACGAAATAGATCTATGTAGGGAACAACTCCAAAGTTGAAGTTAAAAGGATTGGCACCTGCCAGTTAATGATGCGTGATGGACGCACATTGTTCTTACATGATGTATTATATGCTTCGGAGATTCGTCGGAATTTAGTGTCTGTATTAGTGTTAGTTAAACTTGGTTTTAATTTGAACTTCCATAATAATGGTGTTGACTTGTATTTGAATAAGAATTACTATGGTTGTGGATACTTTCTGGATAGTTTTATTGTATTAGATGTTAACTATGGTGATATTAATTTTTCTTATTCCCTATTTACATCTTCCAACTCCTATGCTAATGATGTGAATGTGTGGCATGCTAGACTTGGTCATATTGGCCAATAACGAATGAATAGATTAGCCAAAGAGGGCTTATTAGGCAATATTGAAAAAGTCGATTTGCCTATTTGTGAGCATTGCCTGATGGGGAAAACAACAAGAAAACCATTCGGAAAAGGCACAAGAGCTGAGTTTCTTTTGCAACTAATTCATTCTGACATCTGTGGTCCAATAAATGTAAGAGCAAGGCATGGGGCCGTATATTTCATCACATTCATAGATGATTGTACTCGATTTGGATATGTCTATTTGATTTCTCATAAATTTGAGGTATTGAGTTGCTTCAAGAAATTTATGAACTTGGTAGAAAATCAACTAGATAAGAAAATAAAAGCATTAAGATCCGATCAAGGTCAAGAATATTTATCCGATGAGTTTAGAAATTTATGTGATGACAAAGGAATAGAAAGACAGTTATCTATTCCATCTACTCCTCAACAAAATGGTATTGCCGAGAGAAGAAACATAACCCTATTGGAAATGGTTAGGTCCATGATGGCATAAGCTAATTTACCAATTACTTTTTGGGGTGATTCTTTGTTAACTACTGCCTATATACTTAACCGTGTGCCTTCTAAATTATTTACTTCCACTCCGTATGAGTTATGGATAGGTATAAAACCCGATTTAAGTTTTCTTAAACCTTGGGGTTGTGCTGCTTATGCTCACGAGCCATCTCACAAATATGGGAAACTGGGTCTCAGAGGCAAGAAAAGTATTTTCATAAGATACTCAGAGCACTCGAAAGGGTATGTGTTTATAGGTGAGTAAGAAAGTGGAAGTATAACTGAATTTGAATCACAAAAT